ACCAGAGTGGTTTTAGGTGGTTGGTGCTCCCTCCCCCTTCTCGTCCCAGCTGCTGTGACCTCCTCTGACTGGGACCTCTGCCAGACGGGTGCCGGTGGATCCAAACCAAAGCCTTACCTGCCTGCAGAATGTCAGAATAAGAGCACATCTGTGTTATTCAAAGCTCTGTTTTATGCAAATGTTTTTTTTTCAAAGCCCTCAAGTGATCACTTCCACCATCTTGGCTAGATGCTTGACTGTTTGAAGTTAACTGATATCCAGTTATCGCTGCCCTATCTACTCCTCGTTGTGTTGCATGCGGGGGATGGTAATCCATTCTTCCCATATGTTAGATAGTGACGGCGGGATTAGGCGGACCCTGCAAGAGGATTAAGGCTTCAGGGTTTGGGTCCCCTTCTATCTGGCCTGCTCTCTAACCATCCCACCCCCTCCACCTGCTTCTTGCCGTCTCCTCGTGCTGTTCAGCTCCTCTCCCACCCTTCTTCCGTCTCCCTTTCCTCCCCCGGGCAAGTATCCAATCTCTGGAGTGTTTTTAGCTGTTGAATAAGGAGGTAGAGGGCAGATTATCAGACAGGTCATTTCTTATTTAATTTTGTACAGTAATGGAAATGTGCGCCGCTTCTGTGAGTTATTTTCTTTACTTAGTGATGTTTTATAGATGTGACTCAGGTGGTGAAATAAAAGGATGGAGAATTTGTCCATTTGCTGCTCCTCTTCCTCCTCGTCACCTCTCTCCATCTCAATTTCTTCTCCTCCTCCTGCTTCTTTTCCTCCAGTGTTGAGGGCTGTAATTGATATGCCAACGGCAATAAATCAGCCCGGCTTTACGGTGGGAACGTTATCTGAACAGACAGGTTCAGCCTCTTTGGAGAGGAGGCTGAGAGTGCAAGTTAGCCAGCTCAGCTCCACTAATGGCTTACCTCTTCCTCAGCCTCTGGATTCTTAACTACATGCAACCACCTCACCTGTCTTAAAAAATGACTCTCAATTTATTTTACAGTTTCCAATTCCTACTGGAATGGTTTCCAGTCCTGTCAGTTGATGGGATGTGCCGATATAAAATCCAATCATCTGGCCTCTTTTTTTTTTTTTTTTTTTTTTACAGCCTACTGTCTCTAAAGCTTTCTCCTTAATTGATAACGGCTGTGGCTTTCCCAATTCGTTGATTCCTCATTCCTGAGGCAGGAGACAGGCTCATGCCCAAATGATTGACATGTTTTCCACTGATGGAGCCAAATATGATTCGCAGCCTTCCTCCAGCGCTCTTCCCAGCATTTTGCTTTAAGCTCTGGAGGGAAGTGAAATTGAAGAGGGTTTTCAGGGATAAGGGCGGAGTGAGAAAACGGGTGAATTTTGAGCTAGAGAAACGCGTTCAAGAAGTGAAGTCAAAATACCCATTTAGAGTGAAATTGATTTTACAGATCTGGATCAAAGTAGTAATTTATTTCTATTCTGTCATGCTAACGAAAGTCTACATCTGTCCGTCCAAATCTACATGAAAAAAACAAAACGACCTAGAATTCTAGAATGGAAAGTCTGGAATTTTGAGTAAAGTGTGTAAACAAGTAGTTTGAGGCTAAATTGGCACCAGGGTGCATTAATAAGGATATTATCAGCTTTGTCCATTTCTATCACCCCCTCAAACCTTTTCAAGGTGTTTAATAATGCATTACTGCACAATAGATAAAAGAAGTCACACACTAGATCCAATTGTCATTAGATTCACACGTGCTTACATCAAGCTATGCCTCGTCTACCTGAAGAAAAATTATAGGGGGGACATGTACATTTTTTTTATCAAGCCATAGCTGGCATACTTTCTTTGCCTCATTGTGTCTTTGCCTATCTTGGAAATGACAAAGGAAAAATGAGGCAGCCGGCCTCCTCACGCGCTGCCACACTTTAAATTGACATCTGCTCTCATGGCGCAGCTCGACTGTACTGTTGAGCGAGAAATTAGTTTTTTTATAGAGCGGCTCGTCACTTTATTGCATCTGCTTGTGCCAAAGAGGCCACGATCTGCGTCAAGTTGTTTTAATCTCACAGAGTGGAGAGTAGGGGTACGGTATATCTGATAATTGCAGCTAAGGCCCTTCTGTCTGCAGTTTTTTTGTTTTTTGCTGAAGTGCCTCATTCTGCAGAGCTCCCCTGATGTTTGCTTCAAGCAATGGTAGAGTTGATTAAAATACTGCTGAAGTCAACTTTGGACACCTATATGGAGCACTCTTCTACCTTTCTGTTCATTTTTTTTTGTACGTTTGTTTGTTTGTTTCCAAATGGGGACTAAGATGTAGAAGGCTCTTCCTGAAGCTTTTATCTTTGTGCCAGCTGAGCTATGGTTTGATACTGCCTGGACCAACCCTGCTGCTTTGTCTGCTCTCTTCCACTCTGGCCTGTTATTTACAGTCTCCAGCAGAGTGACTAATGATAATGAGCACTGCAAAGATTACTCTTACAGAAATGTTTTATTGCTACTGTTATTTCCACTCTGCTTTCTTTTCAAAGTTGACACAGAGTTTTCCTAATTTGTTTTCATCGAAAGGAAAACTACTGATCTAAATTTCAGAACTTGCTGGACTTAAGAGTCACATAGTGGCAGATCTGTGCAGCTGATTACGTATAAACTGCTTGCTTTGCTCCATATGTGACTCATCAGACACACAGGAAGTGGAAAGTGAGTTATCGGCTGTCTTTCCTTGAACTTTTGCTGTGCTGTGATCCTTAATGATCTATATTTGGTGCTGAGATCCCAAACGGTGGATTCTGTTAGGGAGAGTTGTTGGTGTAAATTGAGTTTACAAGTTTTAAACTGGAATTATTTAGTTTAATGTCCAGATTTGCACTGTTAACATTAGGCTAAAACTGTTATCAGCTAGTAGTTAGAAATATTAGTATTTGTATAGCTGCCTACCCACTGAAATTAGGGGGTTAATGCGTGAAACACAGTTTCCTCTAAGAATCGGCATTTGGCTTCTTTCTCACTGGCTAAAAAGCTGGGTCTAATCCCTGCTAGCAAGCTGCATGGCCTCTGTCCCCCTCACTACTGTTTGTCCTGTGGCACCATCACTCCGGGTTAGAGTTGATGTCATCAGTGCGACAGAAATCAGGAAAGTAAACAATGTACCAAAATAGAAGGAAGACATGGCGTAGTAAGTGTGCTTTAAGTTTAGGCTCTTTTGTCCCTCCGAATCTTTCTGACCTGTGGTAAACCATGTTTGTCGAATGCAAACAGAGTTATTTTTGACTGCCATATCAGACACGGCTGGCGAGGTGTGTCGGCGTACGTACATTACGTTCAATGGAATCGTGTAAATAACAGGTCAACCCAGGTCTGGCGCTCCCACTGTATGCCGATCGGAGCCAAACCATTTTAACCTATGTCACTAACCTGCTTTTTTTGCAAGTTAGAAAAGGTTTTGTGGCCAGTGGGAGTTTTCAATGCTTAGTTCTGAATGAGCTCATGTCAGGCTGCATGACTAGCTGGATTCACCTTTTACAACTTGCTTTTGAAAACTCCGTCCAGGAAGACTTCATTTAGATGAAATAAAAGCATAAGGTACAAAGATGAATGGCATTTTGTTATTATTGCCAGTTACCTCTGACTGTACAGAAAAAGACTTCCTTGGTGCAAGAAGGTCCTTGTTTAGAACTCGGACATTCTAACCAAGATTCTAACCTTTTGTGTTTTTCATGCTTTTGCGTGTTCTTCCTATAGTTGTAATAGTTCTCTGAGGGTTCTCTTGCTTTCTCCCATAGCTCCAAAACCATCACTGTAAGGTAAAATAACCATTCAAAAAAGTCTCCTACTGTATAGGCTTGTGCGTGCAATGTTGTTCTTGATCTGTGTATTTCTGCATTGCCCTCTGATGGACTCACAACCTGTTCAGGGTGTGTACAGGCCCAACTATAAACAAATGGGTTTAGACAATGGATAAATGGAGATTTAGAGTATTAACATCCGTCAGTCCTCTCTGTACTTTCTCTATAACATTCCCATACCAAGAAGAAATGCTCCCCGTTTCCCTTTAAAACGGTACATTTTATTTCTGCACAGAGCTCTGACAATATGGTTTAGTGTGCGCTGAGTAAACTATTAAGTGAAATAAATGTTTGCCAAACCTCTGCTCTTCAGTTTTCCATGTTAGCTTTGTAGAGCAGACTGGGACTATAGCGGGGAAGGGAACGGAGCCAGACGCATTACAACATGGGCAGTTTTCAGACTGACAATAAGTGTTTGAAAGAAAAAACAAGACCATTTGCAGGGTTATTATAAGCACTTAAGATAAGACGTATATATTAGCGCCATGTTTAGGAGTAGATCAATACCGTAAGTGTAAGACACTAAAAAGCTTAAGTAAAACATTCATGGCTGAAATAAGTGATGAAATTATTTTGTTCTTTTTTTATTTGATGTACTTAATGCATTTTCCTGGATTCACACAGCCAATGCAACAGATTATCATACATCACAACACATTTTTGGCATCCATGCACCTGTGGTGCATTGTACAAGCCCGCCAGAGCTACATGTGTAATTTCAATATGGAAAAAACGTGTTAATGGCATGATTGTGTTACAGTACAAACCATGACAGGAAACGCTTTAGGCAGACCAAGGATAAATTGCTCGCTGTCAGTGCTACTACAGTTCCCAGTAGCGTTTATTCCTAGAACAAATTTCCAAACGCAGCAATATAACACTGAAAGTTAAGAAATATTAGTAGTTTTAATGTTGTGAGTCCATATCTCATGGCTATACTAAAATAGTGTGTATAGAGCTTTAAATAATGACTCCTGGCTCCCCCACATTCTTTCATTGCTAACGCATTTGCCTTCCAGACTTGATTTATATATATTTTACCAAGGCAAATGTCAATTTGGTGCATTAACTCATTTAGACTGTGCAATCATAAGGATTGTTTTGGCCTCTCTTCTTCCTTGATGCTTAATCAATAACAAATATTTCAGACTCTAACATATTTTTTCTTTTTTGCCTTTCAGGGCTCCTACCTTGTGCCTCTTTGGATGATGTTCCCGATGACTGCTCACAACTCTGAAAACCGGACAGTGGACCAATAGGAGTTTTGATTCCCCTTCCCTGCTCCTTCTCCCTCCCTTAAGCTCTCCTTTCTTATTCTTTAATAGTGGAGGAGGCAAAGACCTAAATCCTGACTTGGATCTAGGTAGCAGAGATTGTTCTCCTTCTCCTTCTTCCTTTCTCCTCCCCCACCCCCCAAGGCCTTGCCTCTGGGCACTTCAGAAATGTGTCCTCTCTCTCGGACTTTAGCCTTCCCTGGCCAGGGGAACTTGCTCCTCCTGTTGGGGGTTATACTCCTCATGGTCCCGTCACTCGCTGGAGGTCAACCCCCAACCTTCAAACGCTTTGCTCCCCCTGACAGTTTTCTTACACATCTGGCAATCCACAACAAAACTGGAGAGGTCTATGTGGGAGCCTTCAACTGGATTTTTAAGCTGTCCAGCAACCTGACTAAACTGCGCAGCCACATGACCGGGCCAGTGTTGGACAATGAAAAATGCTACCCTCCACCCAGTGTCCAGTCTTGTCCTTATGACCTTGCCCAAACCCCCAACGTGAACAAGCTGCTTCTTATAGACTATGCCCAAAACCGCCTCATTGCCTGCGGCAGCACCTCACAGGGCATCTGTCAGTTTTTACGTCTAGATGATCTCTTTAAGCTCGGTGAGCCTCACCACCGTAAGGAACACTACCTTTCCAGTGTGGCAGAGTCGGGGACCATGTCGGGAGTCATCATAAGCTCTCCCCAAAACCCTACTAGCAAGCTGTTTATTGGAACCCCCATTGATGGAAAATCGGAGTACTTCCCAACACTGTCCAGTCGCAAACTGATGAAGAATGAAGAAGACGCAGACATGTTCAGCTTTGTGTATCAGGATGAGTTTGTCTCCTCTCAGCTAAAAATCCCCTCGGACACTCTATCCAAGTTTCCTGCTTTTGACATCTATTATGTGTACAGCTTCAGTAGTGAACAGTTCGTCTACTATCTAACAATGCAGCTAGACACCAAACTGACCTCAACCGACGGCAGTGGGGAGCAGTTCTTCACCTCCAAAATTGTCCGCCTTTGCATGGACGACCCCAAGTTTTACTCTTATGTTGAGTTCCCCATCGGATGCACCAAAGACGGGATAGAGTACCGCCTGCTGCAGGACGCTTTCCTGGCTCGACCAGGCCGGCAGCTTGCAAATTCTTTGGGGATTTCTGAGAATGAAGACATTCTCTTTACGGTTTTCTCTCAGGGTCAGAAAAATCGGGAAAAGCCACCCAAAGAATCTGCAATGTGCCTGTTTACCCTGAGGAAGATAAAGGAGAAGATCAAAGAACGTATTCAGTCCTGCTACAGAGGAGAAGGGAAGCTCTCTTTACCCTGGCTGCTTAATAAGGAGCTCGAGTGCATCAACTCGGTAAGCTCACATTTTTGCCTACAGTTTTTTTTTGTTGACTAGATTAGGACAGGAATTCTGTTCTGACAATGCAAATAAAACTATTAGCATTGATAACACAGATGTAGTAATTGAAACAGTGAGGGGAAAAAATGTGATTCCTGATGCTAAATCTGATTTGCAGTTGTTAAAAACCAACAGTCTCTTGCTAATCTTGTTGATATAGACCAACCATGCAGGAATTTATAGTATTAAGCCCACAAAGCCGTTGCTGCCAATCTCCTGCTGTCTCCCTTTTTTTCTGTTTTTCCTTTCCTTCTTCCTCTTTCCCCCAATAAACTCTTAGAGCGTTGATTCAGTCAGACAGGGGACGTCATTAGCCCAGTCCCCTGGATTTGTAAAATGTCATTCAGTAGAAGCGCCCAGGCACATCCACACTCATCCAAACAGCATGATTCAGTGCACTGCAGTCTAAGATCCTTAGAGGTAGTGCAAGTTGGCCTGTTTTTTTTGTTGTTGTTTTTTTATTAACTGATCCAGAAAGCATGGCCTTGCCTAGTAATACAGAAAACAGCCTCAACATATATAAGCATTAAGTCCTACTGTCTAGTGACATTTCCAGGTGTGTAGTTTGAAAACAGTTTATGCATTCTCTTGAAGAACCAGAACCAGTTAAAGCATTCCCTGTCAGTTACAATACAGGCGTAAATCGCAACTCAACAAGACTTTTAATTAGTTAGTCTTGGAAAACACTCATCTCTTGTGTGAGCTGAGCAAAGGTTTGGTTTCTTCTGATTAAAGTCTGTTTTTTAGTTGCCATGACCTGGGTGACTAAGAATTTGCTCAGGCATCTTCCTGTCAGTCAACAGATTTCTAATTACAGACATCTTAACACAAATGCACACAAAGCTTTCAGCATCTTCTGGAGTAGAATATTTGAAAGAAGTTATTTGTTTGTCTAGATTAGCATAGAGCCACGTGGGGGCATAGATGCTTCTTTTTAAGCTTCAACTGCTTTCTTCTTGCCTTTTTATGTTCATGTTTTTCTTCTCTCTTTGTTGCTTTGATTGTATAGTTTCCATTGTATCTATGTTAAAGGCTATAAAACAGAGGATCTCCTTCATTTTTATTTGATGAAGCAGAGCTGTTGCTGCTTATAGCCAATATGCTTATAGCATATTGGCTATAAGCCTCCTTCTTTGTGGTATGATGCAACTAATGGATAACTCAGAGACACAAGGATAAGAATTTAGTGGCTAAGCTTTTTTTCCCCTAAAGCTTTTCTTCTGAGTACTAATTTTCACTAATTCTTTAAGCAAATACTTCAATATACTTTTATTATAAACAAACTATAAAATAAAAAAAGGAACAAAAATAATAATTTAGGCTATATTTTGTATTTATATTTGTGATAATGGCAGTTAGTATTACCTGTAAAGGCAGGCAATGAGTCTGCTGATTTATTGAATACTGCCTTGATAGGTAAATAAGGGATTCCAAGAGTCTATTGCCATTTGTTTTAATTTTACTGCACCCAACAGTGTTGTGGCAAAGCAATAGTACAACCTCAGGTGTTTCCAATAATGATGATTATGTCTTTGTTTGGGTCTTGTGACTAAATGAGCAGCCAGTAAGTGAGCTCTCAGAAAGTCAACCTTCCAAAACTCTTAGTATTCCAAATTAGTTCTCAATCACTCTCATGACATGTATAGATATCTCCAACCTCTTTAATCTGTTTTACAGGTTTAAGGATTAAGGCATTTTGTATGTAAAACTGCTTAAAAAAAGAAATGTTTATTTTTATTAGATTTTGTTCACTCGTTCTGTGCCACTAAGTTATTGAACCATTTACAAATACATTCATTAAATGCATATGTCTGTCTCTTCCTTTATTCTCTTATCCCTTTCTCCATGGCTTGTTACCATGGTTTCTGTGCCTTCGTTAAGGATTACAGCCACCAACAATTTATCACTCGGACATCCTCTTAAAACCTGCTGTTCCTTCAAAACTGTCATCAATGACGATATAAAGGCTTCACAAAAGAGCTGACTGGCTGACCCCAAGACAGCAGCAGGACCTAAGAGGTCAGCATCAGGTTAATGATGTCTGTTCCAGTGTCCCTTAAAACTGACCTGAAGTCAGCGGCCCAATGCTGACCTAAACCTCAGCCCCAAAGGAGCTCCAGTCCGAGATCATGTTTAGTGTGGGAACAGGGACTGTGCAAAACAACTAAACAAGGACTCAAAACAAAAACAGAATGAAACAAACAGCCAAAGATAGTGGGTACATTAGTTCATAAATGCATCAAAATGCTTATGAGTGTAACCAAAATGCAGCAGTGTTGCAGCATTCCTAATTTGTCCAATTTTCTTTCTGCCTTAGTTTTTTGTTTTAAAATTTAAATCAAGGTTCAATATAAACATATATTAATAAAAGTTTAATCATCTTCCACAAAAGTTCTAGATGTTTAAAAGGGCATAAAAGTTGGTTTTAATAATTTCTTTCAGATGTGAGTTTTCTCCATGGATTTAATTAATTTTTATAACCTTGGTAGTAATACACTGAAATGCTGCATGCACTAAGCTCAGCTTATCCCAAAATGTATTAAAGGGACAGATGGAAAACACACATTAAATAGTGTCAAGGGCGCAGTGCTGGTGACTTTCTATACACTTTATGGAGCCATTCCTGCTGTGTAGCAATGTTATGTTGTTGGTATGACCAACAACATTGGTTTTTAAAGCTTGGACATAACCAAATTTCTGCTGGAAAAAAAATATTTTATTGTTTAAATGTTTTTCTTTAGTTATTAGGAGCAAAGGTGACCCCAGAGTGTCAGAAAAACTGTACCATGAAAGCATTTTTTTTCTTTTACAGTGGCACATTTCAGGTGGCTTTTAGTACCTTTTAATAATATTTTAGCACAGGTAACATCTGTAACTGTAAACATCAGTTACACCATTACCTTAACTCTCAGAAAAGAATGGTAACATTTCTAAATCCTTCTCTAGGATGAAACTGCTAAATTTAACAAAAAAAATACCAAACTGTCTATGTGAACTGTGAAAGTACCAATTTGAAAGAACCAGCTGGAGCACTTATTTGGAAACCAACATGTAATGTGAATCTTTACTTCAGAGCTGATGTTGGAGCAGGTTGTCGTGGTGTACCTTTGGACTCTGAAATTAAAACAACTAAAGTGGCCTGCATGGCATGAAGCAGAGTTCCCTGCTGAGCAACCAGAGGAATTTGGAGGGCTGTTCCACATATGGTTGACCTTACCATGCTGCAGAGGAGAGGTTAGGGCAGGGCTGGTTAGTGGGTGGTGGGCTGGACAGGCATGGACAGCTGTTTACCGCTCAGCCATGACTGATCACCAGGAGCTCCGACAGCCTCCTGTGTGAGGTGTAGATTTGCATTGGAAAATAATTTCTTGCCTCTGGTCATCATCAAGCTGGTGTTTTGTTTACTGACATCTCATCTTTTCTTAGTAAACACAAATCTTCAGGCGCATTAGATTGGTTGCTGATAAAACATGTCTTTCTCAACAAATCACCGACACTCATGTCGAACATTTAGCACCTTAGCTCTGCTACCAGGCTATATTTGTCTCCTGCTGGTGTGTGATATTGTGTGTGTCTTATTTTGTCCCTGAGCTTTATTAGTGGACCCCTGACCTTCTCCCCCGTTTGAGAGTAGATCAATACAAACCATTTCCACAAAAGGAGAATGAGAGGGTGGAGGAGAGTCGCTAAGTTAGGAGTGAGAGAAGGAGAGACATGACGGAAAACATAGGAGGGAGTGCAATGGGAAGGGAAGCAGAAGAGGGACTGAATAGAGGTGAAAGCATGAAAGGATGAACCAGAATTTTGCAGAAACTAAACAAGTGAGGCTGCCAGAACTGGAAAGGAGAGAAAGGTGTGAGATGTGGGTGGAGATAAAAATGTATGAACCAGAGAGTTGGATGCCAGAGAAGCCCGCATAAGAGAGTACAGGAATTTGAAGGATAGCTATCAGGATATGAGTGGGAATACATGTGGGAAAGCTGTGTGAAAAAAAAAATCCAAATCAGTCCTGTAAGAACTAGCTGACTTAGTTGTGTTGATACTGGATGGCAATAAGCCGATTATAAGGTTTGAACTTGATGGAAAATTGAGTTTCTGTCAAAGTTATGTTAATGCATCATTGGCCCTCATCGACACTCAGTTTTATTTCACCATATCTGGTTTATTTCATGTTGACATCATTTTAAAGCTCTTACTTGTTCAGATGTCTAAGGAATAACAAGAAATAAACAGCATAAAGTTAAGGTTTTTTTCGTGCACTGGAAATTGTATGTAAACAATAAAACCCTCCTGGTAGGGCAGGGCGATGGGGCTAAAAATTTTAATCTTGGACGATTATGATTTCAATCGATTTTAATTGAAGTGTTAAAAACGACATGCATGTATTTTAAAATAAGTTTAATTTTTCAAAAATATATTGTGCAAAGTAAGAAATATCTAGCCAACAATAAACATATTCTAAAGCTTTATAAAGCTTTTAGTGTCGTTGTGTCTTGGGCAAGACTGACTTGAAAAAGCACTATATAAGTACAGGCCATTTACCATTTAGACAAATCATTTTTGTTCTTACTGTAGGGACATTTAAGGTGCGGTTGGCAAACAGTCATGATCAGAAATGATGTTACCGTGTTTTTTAGAGCAGTCTATCTAACACAGACCTCATTTGAGGTTATATTAGATCATTCTTTAGGTTAATATTTAGCACATGTGTGCATTAATGCTTGAAGGGGGGCTGCTCTTTCCAAAAACTGGGTCTGTCACTGAATGGGTCATGTGACCCAGAGCGCCACTTAAAGGCAGTAATCTCTCTTTAAAACCAGAGGTAAATAAGCTAAAAGTTATGGTACAGCAACAAAGCAGATTACCGGATCAGACATATTTTTGTTTCTCTGATGTAGGATTTAATCTATAGGGCTGAATGTGGACTTGTTTTATAAATGACTTTATAACTTCTC